GTTGCAGTAATTCAGATAAGAATTTTTTCCAAGGAACTATTGACGCTACATGAGAACATGAAGAATTTATAAATAAAAATACATACATTTCAAAGAAGGAATCCATTGCTAAATTAATGAATCTACATTTCTTTCTATCATAATTGTTCTACGTGTTTTATTTTAACCTAATATGTACTAAACTCTAGAAATATTCTTATCTTGCTTCTACTCTCACTTTTAGCGGGGGTGCCGCATCAGTCCCGCCTCTTTCTCGATTTGCCAATGGCAGCTTAGGATACAAATGCATCGATCAACGTCGCGACGCCTTTGTCTCTCTAATACGGTCTTTATGATACTCCTCAGATTTAAAATAGATTTAAACGTAAATACATTGAAGGTCGCACATACCAATTACAATTATTTTTTATTATTCCACTTATTATTATGTTGTAGTTTGGAGGGAAAGGAGGAGGGGGGGGCATTGTTTTTTCTTAAGAAAATGATAATATCTACCAGTGAAATACCGGTAAAAATAAAATTGATGCTCGCTTTAAAGTAAAAAGACCTAGACAACTTTTTTTACTGTTCTGATTGATGGTTAATAATTAATTCAATCTTCAGTGGATGGATGTTTGGAAAGAGACTAAAATAAAGTAATTTTTCAAGGGCTTTATTCTACCTGGTGGTGTTTGTTCAACAGTAGGAGATATCAGTATATTGATGTTTTCACATACTTTTTGATTCAGGTAATAAGATTCCAAAATTTTTTAAATAAACATACGGAATCAGCGATATTGCAAGTTCAATGAGCATTAATACTAAATATCGTTGCATTTAAAAGGACCGAACTTAGTAATGTCAGCGAAAGTTTTTCTTATACCACTCTAATAATAATGTGAATGTCTTTTAATTTAATTTCATTAATTGTCTTTACTCTTTTTAGTACCCCTACTCATTTCTTTAATTTAATTGTCATAGTTACAATAATAAAATAGGTTACACTAAATGATATTCAGAGAGAAATTCTCATAATTAGAAATACAAGTTTATGTTAATTTTCTGTCACTTTATTTGAATGTAGGTATTAAATATATATCTTAGGTCGCTGATTGCGTGATCTTTTTTTTTATAATTAAACGAAAAAGTGTTTAGGTTAGGTTTTTGGAACCCTGAGTCCGCCCCTAGCAAAAATCCTAGTTACGCCCCTGATCTTACCTATAGCAAAATGAAATTTATAGGTTTAATAAATTTTCTTATTTGATTCATGAAATTTTGTGTAGCACATTGTAATTTACCATTTAATCTTATTTTAACACTGTAATAAACATTTCGATATTCCGTGTACATTTCTTTTTTAATATTCAATAGAAAAAGAATTATATTCACTACTTTTGATATTTAATTTTTAGAAAACGGTCCATATTTTTATTCAATGAAATGTTTAAATATAATATAACACAGAATAAAAGAGAAAGGAATTTCTATATATTTATTATTTTATTCGACACACTAGATTTTTACATTTTTACATAACTGTTTAAAATACATCCTCAGTAAGAATAATAATACTAAATCACATCACAAAATGGTAACTATTATTCTACATACTCACTAAAATATTAAGTAAAAACTACACCTGATATTTACAGAAATTACAATATTTTCTTAAACCTTATTAAGTTACAATGCTTATTCTAATAGTTTCAACTACTCGTTTCTGCTGAAGAAGATTTGAATTAAAATACAATCATAGGGTAAATGGTTTAAAATTAATCTATTTAAGCTACTGTTCTAATTATATGTCAGTTAATGTACTACTATATGTATCTATATATTAATTAATGCTTTTAATATTCGTATATACAATAAATGTACAGATTATTTAAAATCACTTTACAGCATGTTAAGCTTTGGTGTTGATTGCAACTAATTGCAACATTGCACGTCGGTTTCAATTAAAAAAAAAAGTAATTGTAAATTTTCTTCATGGAATAAAAAAATACTGAACATAATAAAAATACTTCAAAAATTAACATTAATAAATATTTAATATAATATTTTAAACTTTTAATATTATTTGGACAAAATGATATAAAACTTATTACAGATAACCTGCAAGGATGTCATATCTTAAATATCACCCATACTCTAAACATGTCGGTAAATAGACATCCAAATAGCTAAATAGTTCGCCGTACTCAAGAAAGCTAATAAATCGAAATTGGTTTTGTATATGGTGATTCTGCTGACGAAATACTCTTTTTACTAGCTATTGTGGGTGTAAGGGGGCATATAGTCCACAGACTAGTTGTTTCTTATAATTTCATCCGTTAAAAGTACCATTATAATTTTGAGAAACGGTAATTTCCACAAAGCACTCATAATGTTTCAAGACATAGTAGTTTTATGTGATGATACTTTTTCTTTATAAAAATGGGTTATCTTTAGAGAAACTAAACTAACGTAAGTAAATGAGTTTTATATTATTTAAAACAAATGGCTTATAAATGCCAATACCAGTATTTAAGATTTTAGCAACATTTAACGAAGTACATATTTTTCATTAAAACAGTCAGGTGGATATACTTGACTCTTTAATACGCATTATGTGAACAAAAAGAATTACGGTAGAGCAAGAAGTGATTGTCAGTTTTGGCGTACTCCAATAGCTTTAAATCTTTAATTTAATCCCCTTGTCACTACATATTTTCCTAAAGTCAACCTAGATTGAAGAAGTTCTTTTGATTCATTTTAAATAATATGCACTATATCAGTATGAAGTAGACAATAGTATAGTACCTACTTATTTCACAATGCGTCACATTTCTGTTCACGTCATCAATTTAAGTCTAAGGAAATTTCGATCTTTGATGAAATTCCCTGATGAGGGAAGATAATCGTATAGGTATGCAATGTAGAGAATGAATATTGGAAATTGACGTTTTAAGGTGAACTACGTTATTTACGTTGTCTATGTTAGGGGTGCCATGTAAGTATACAAGGTGCTTCTATAAATGGTGCAAATAGGAGGAAGATAAGAAATTTAATTGTAAGCAAAGAGTTTCAATAACTTTCGGAGGAACAGTTTTTTACTCATACAAATCGTTGGAAGTCCACAAAATAATTAAGGATTCTGTAACCTAAAAAAGTTGTTTGTTGCGTTTTCGATTAAATGTACAGGCTGTTTCATAATGATGTGCAAATATTTTTTGTTTAGAAAGTAATTTTTGGGGGGTACTTCCAATACATTTTTTCGATTTGAGTCCACCATGAGAAAATATTCAAATCCCAAAATGGCCGAAATAATCAGCTTTAATTTTTTTTTATTAAATTTTTAATTCATATTTGCTTAGCTTTTCCTACTGATAAAAAAGAATTTTTGCAAGAAGCACGTCAAAAACGACAATCGTATTTGGTAACTGTTTTACTAATTACCTATGTGTATCTAATTGACAATGAAAAATAATTTATTTTTTTGCTCGTAAACCATTAAGTATACGAAAAAATGAAAAGAGTAAAAATAGTTTGTAAATGAAATGTAGTAATAAAAGCTATTTTTCTTGCTGGAATTGGCTAACGTAGAATGTTGTGACAGAAATAAAACCAAGGGGTGCTAATTTCTTTCATTCAAAGATATAAACCAGAAAAAAAGACTGCCAAAAAATACCATTCAACTAGTTGTTAACGTGTACCAAAATGCAAATTTCTAAGTTTAACCGTTTTCGTGAAAAAAAAATAAAATTTTTTGGCCATTTTGAAATTTGAATATTTTCTCAGGGGGGTTCAAATCAAAGATATTGAAAGTACCCCCCCTAAAATTACTTTCTAAACACCTTAAAATATTTGCACATCATTATGAAACACCCTGTATATTTCTAAACAAACTTTTTTTTATGATACAAGTCGTTGTTCGTTTATGATAAATTATAGTTTCCGCCAAACTGCTACTAAATTATTAAGTATATCCTTGAAGGTATAAATTTTGAAAATCAAAAATTTTACTTGTTTTCAAATTTTGATAAAACTCATATTTCATAATGAATGTATTTTGGCGCCACTGTTCTTCAACAATTTTTTATTTTAATTAACAAAGTTTTAATTAGCAAAATTTATAGCTAACCTCGCCATTTTTGATTTTCGAAATGTATCTTTTTCTTGTGCTATTCCTCTATAAGGTTATTGTCATAAATCAACTAGTTTTATTTCGATTTGATAAGCTACCTTGGAATAATTTTAAAAAATGGTGACTGGCAGCAAATTTTTTGTGATATTCAAATTCGTTTAAAAAATGGTTTGGAGCCCACATCCACAAGAAAATTTTTGCTTAAAATGTCATTTTCTGTTTTACTATGAGTATTTAAAAGCACCTTCAAGAATAACCATTTTTTATGCAAAAATCACTCTGTCTTCTCTTCTAAATACTGATCACTGCGGACATTTTTCAAATTGACACAACATACTGTGACAGCATCTCAAAATTTTGACAGTATTTTGATACTGTATAAATAAATTTGACAGTATCTTGACATTAATAAACATACAGTTGCTGCGGAGCCTTCATAAATATTTACAAGCCACGTCACCGCCGAGCTTAGGCAACCAACATTGCACGGGTAGTACGAAATATCCCTAAATCTTGTCACCAATATTGATTATTTGTTTACAATGATTGGTTGAATAGAACCTCCTGAAAAATTGCACCAATCACAGCCGGTGAAACAGAATATTGTGTTTTAACGTAATCTTAATCTTGTGTTAATAATTTAATTGCCAACGCGAAGGAAATACAATTTCTGTTCCGAACAAAATTACTATTCACGTGACTTGTAATCATTTATGAAAGCTCTGTAGAATGATGATGATTTAGCTTAAATCCCGTCCCATTCGTTACAACTTAAAGGCTCCATAACGACTGCTTATGCTCGATAAACCCGTTACACACAAAAACATTTTTAAAAATTGTGTTAAAATATGGAATTTTCGGACCAGAAATGTATTCAGTATACAACTGAAAATATTTACGCTCCATTTGACTCCTTCGAAGACGTTATGTTCGTTTCTGCCCCCTCATGTTTCCTTTGCAGAGCTTGCAGCGTCAAAGGCGGCAGCAGGGGAAAATTCAGCCCTCCTGCTAGACTGGCGGCTTGCTGAAAGTTCGCAACGTGCTGTAAGCTCTGCAGGAGAGCAGCGGAATGTTCCTGAGCTTTCCTTCTTAGTTCCGCCACACTCGACGATCTCTGATCGTTGCCGGGGGAGATCTGAGATGCTTCGCTAGATGGCAGCAAGGAAGAGCCCAGACTTGACATGGGTTTGATTGGGCAGCAGGAACACAGTCCAGGGAAACCTGAAAAAATTTTGGCGTTCAGGATGGTTTACTGTAATTTTTTTGCAGGGAATATACATATTTACATGGTACATATACTCGGATAGCGAAGGCTGTATTCTTGTTTATTTATCAGTAGGTGCAGTTTGTTGTCCTATATTTTGGAGACTGACAATTTCAATGCAATACCAATACATTATTTTTCGGAATGGACGTGGTTAAAATTTGATGTGAAAATCGCCTTTCCGTCTGTCATCATCTATATTTTTTGCATTCATTTCCACAATATACTGTATAAAATTTGTGTCAGATTTCAAAAAGAATTCTGTATTAAATCAACAAATAAGTTAATTTGACGATTAACATGTTGAAGAAGAATGTGAGAAATCTTTTTTTGTTTTGAAGTTATCGCTAAAATTTTACATTTCGTCTTTTATTTTATTTTTACCGAAATATCAAATTATCTATATCTACTAAAAGTACTTCGAAAGCAAAACATACAACGATTACTCCAAATAAAATTTTAATAATTCTGTAAATTTATCAATTTTTCGAAAACTAAGAAAACATTTTTGGAACGAAGAAAATCGAGACGTATTTGAAATTTTTTAGTTAATTAATGTGAAAATTGCAATTTTAATTAAAAATTAACAGTAATTCTAATATTGAAAATACATTAAAAGCTACAGGACAAAAAAATAATAGTGATGATAATGTGGAAAATATCCCCCCGAGATAAGAGAAAATAACTGGTAATTAAAAAAATTAAAATACGTAATGCAGGAAGTATCACTATCTGTAGGCAAAAACTGTAACGGTAGAAATAATATAATGTGTAGAAATGCTAATATCTGACTCGTTAGAACTGCTTTACCGTAATTAACGGAAATTACCTATTTTCTGCACTTGTAGTACAACATACTGTTAAATATTTATAATTTAGGTACATACATACAGGGTCGGAAAGTCCCCATGGTTCATCGGCCGTTACGTGAGAGCGATAAAGAAAGTCATAGAAATCCGTACGATAGAGACTTCTACAAATAAGAAGTGGATCTTATTTGTGGAAGGGCGAAATGGACGGTGACTATTAGACGTCTTCATTATAGCCATCTTTCTCTATCGCACGGATTTCTATGACTTACTTTATCGCTCTCACGTAACGGCCGATGAACCATGGGGACTTTCCGACCCCGTATAAGTATTTACCTATTAAGTTGGTTGCTATGTATATAGCAATATGTATAATAAATCTTTTTCACACTATGGCTAGAAAGTACGAAAACGTGATGCTAAATTTAATGTTATAGTGATTGTAGACAACCATTTTTTATGCAACTAGTACAAATAATAAAGATTTGACAATACGTAAAGTACCAAAAATGCCTTTTTGCATGAGTTATACAGGGTGTCTTATTTTAATCAATAACTTTGCAGAATGACCTCCAACTTCCAGAACAAATGTTGTAAGGTTTTAAGGGGGCTGTGCGATAATGACCTTCTTTTTGACTCAGAGTGCAAACTTAGGGGTCATTTGGGGGTCAACTTCAGGATTTCAAATGGAAACCCCATTTGTTTTATCCAGAAATGGAAAGATCGAGGAATTCACGTTCAAAGATGTATATTGGATCTCGGGTTAGACTAACGTCAAAAATGTATACTTAGTTGACCCTGCATCAGATGGACCCCTTGAGGTCCTTCAAAAAGGATTTTAGTTTTTTAACATAAATATTCTTTTTTTACGCCGAGGCCCAGATGGCTCCCACGGTTAATGAGGCATTCAATCCAATTTTGATCGTGATCTAGATCTAGAGGTTGAGAGTAGGAGCCATTAGAATGTTAAATTAAGAGTCTATTATTTGTGCTTAAACCGTCAATATTAGCGGCTATCGATAAAGCATCAAATCTTCGCTATAAAATGTAAACATTTAAGTTGAAAACCTAATCTGACATTTGAAGGTCTCCTAGGGGTCCATCTGAAGGAAGACCAAATATACATTTTTTAACGTGACATTTTCCGCTTTTCCCACACTGAAAAAAAAGTACACATTCGGATCAAATGAGCAGATAGTTTTAAATGGAATTATTTGCCGTAAATGTTATTTTATTATATTCAAATATATGTATATACTTTCGTCAAACTATGTGAAATATTTGCTGCAATTATAATTTTTCTAGAATTTACATATATTATTTGTAAATATATATCTATAATTTGATTAAAATCTTTTATAGTTTTGAAATTTATTATCTCGGACTGCAATATCTCTTACTCTCTCTTTCTCTTATAGACTGCAAACAAATTTGTTGGTTAAACTTACAAACGATCCTAGCTGTTGTACTAGGTATTGTTGTGAGTTTGAAACAAAATATTTTTTATTACTGAGAAATATATATACAATCATGTGACCAAAACTATTCAATTTAGTATTAAACAAACGATATATTAATATACAATACAAAACATGTTTCTATACAATCTATGTAGATCATAAAATTAAGAATATAATTCGTTTAACCGTAAGTATCAAATATTTATTTTAAATACTGCCTATTTTTAAAGAAAGAAATTATATTTCTGGGTAGAAATTTAAAGTATTTAAATACATAAATACAAGAAATTTTTTTGTGTGCATCTTTGGATAGAACTCAGTGTCACAATTCATAAATCATGACCACGGTAGTTTGTACGGAATTGACACAAAAATTATTCAACCTATGCCATAAAATGTAAATATTTCAGTGGAAAAGCTGATTTGACCTTGAGAGAGCCCCTAGAGGTCAATCTGACCCGAGGTCAACTATGCATCTTTGATGTGATGTGATGAATTAGAATGGGACACCCTGTATAGGTGCAATGTTTTTTCTCTAAAACCGTATTTTAGTATAAGTGACATATACTTGGATGCCAATTTATTGCCATACATAGTACAATGTAATACGTGATGTGAAAAAAATAGCACATTTTGAACATTAAATGTCAAAATATTGTCCTTATTGTAGAAAAAGTTCTTATAATGATTTTAAAATTTCAGCGTCGGTCCTAGAATTATTCTAGACCATACAATTTATATGCAATACTTAAGAAACGTATACCTAGGTATTATACATTTTCTGTAAAACAATTTTGAAACTTTTCGCTCATATTAGCTGCTATCAAAATGGAAGATGTATGAAACCAATTTGAATGAATTTTTTAATCTCTTATTTTCGATACGCCGAAGATCGATTAAGTTGTCACGTACCGAAATTTATAAGCAATACATCTTCCGTCGATCCAGCGTCGGGTTTGATGTCTGTTCTATCACGTCGTAACCATGATTTATCCTCAAATCCAGCAATGAATTACGTTATCTCGTTATGTTTATGCCGCGCGAGGTTTCTATCCACTTATAAACCCCGCATTTTGCCAATTTGCCACCACTTTACACCTGAGAACTCTCAAATTTATTGAGAACACACTTTCAACTTTAAATTTAATCACATCCCCGTAATATCCACCCTAATTTCTTTAAGATTCCATTAGGTTGTAGTACTCAACTAATATTGTTTCGCGAAGCTGTTTTAAGTAGCCATCCAAAAAGAAATTTGCAAAGAGAGGATCAGGGAAAAATATGTAGATAATTATTTTGTGTCGCTTGTATATGTTGCTAGATGTTTTATTTGCACAAAGTTGTGTTAAACTATTCCAAAGTAAATTAGTTTTATCATACAAGGTGTCGCAGTAAATGAAGTTTACTTTTACTGGGATTTGTGGGCCCAACAGTTAGAAGTTGAAGTTTTATGAAACGTCTTAAGGTATTGGAAAACTAAATTTATTGTGGTTTTATGAATGATTGGTAGGGCTGTCAGAGAGAACCGCAATTCAATGGCGTGTCAAGCGGATCAACCAAGACATGCGTGACCCGCTGCCTCAGAATGCCTTCCACGTTCAAGTCACGTTAGTATACTGTTGCCTTTGTTATTATGCGCATGCTGAGGAATTAATTTCTATCTGTTGATGTTTATGGTGGTGTATTGTAGACAATTTAATTTGTTGCTTTTTAATAAATAATGCGTACGCCTATGTCCCGCGGCTCAGTTCTGACAGCCCTACTGTTTAGACAAGCTGTGTTTGAACGTAGATATCTACCAAACTAGAAGTTAGTGCCAGTATGACAAAAATGGCATTGCTTTTACCTACGGTAAGTGCGAGCAAAACGCTGCAGTGGCACCACGTCAGACAGAGAAACAAATTTAGAAATTGTTGATGAGCCTACCACAATACCAAATAAATTACACGCCAGTTGAGTATTTATCGTCAAAGTCTGGAAAACTTAAGCGAAATCGATTTTAACCATAGGGTCATTCCATGTCAACTATCCCAATGCTCCCAATCGCCCATCCCCAATCTTCATCAATTTTGCACAGAAATAACCCTTGGTTCTAATCTAAACTGGATAAAATATTATACTCTAATATGCTTTTGTTCAGGGGCCATCTTGCAATGATCACGCGCGTGCTCCAAAATCCTTCAATTTTGATTGTTTGTTTTTTCAGTTTGGCTCAACGAAGAAGGATCTTACTCTTAGTTGACTAGGACAACTTTTTCTGCCAAATCCAGTCGTGCAAATAAAAAAGCAATTGTAGTCAAATCTAAATTGCAAATTGGTGCCAAAGTTGAGCAAAAAACATCAGTTTCTGAAATAATGACCATACTTTAAGCACAAATAACTTCTCACACGCAATGCATAATTGTGAAAGGATGTGTACTCTGCCTAGATTTATATCGAGCTTGCAATGCAATGAAGTAGTAATAATAATTGACACCCTAGGAAAGACTTATTGTGCTTATTCACTCGTGTGATCCCGATGCTTCTAGTATTTACCTGTCCTTCATGAAGTGATGCTACATTTCACTTGGAAATTTCGAGTCTTTATTTTTGTCCTTGCGTTGGCCCATTGTGGCTGATCTAAGGGTTGGCACACTGCTTCTGAAGAAATTCATATTTCGTTAGAAATAAAGCTTCATGGTGAGAGAGCTTCATCAAATAAAAACTCAGTCCGCCTGCTCAACAGTGCCTGAGAACAAATCAGAGACTGGCTTGAGAATATTTTCGCCTCTGTAATAAGAAGATGACGTTTGACATTCTGACTTCCCTGAGTGTCCAATGTGGTAAAAATCGCTCATTATGCCACCTACTTCTATATGCTCATCTTTGTCATTAATGCATTTCCTATTTGACTGCAAATTAGAATCGTCCATAAGCAATAATTTTAATAATCCGCCTAAATAAAAAACTCATTTTATCAATAGAGAACAAGCAAATTTGCTGCATCAGTTTAATATCTCACTTGTGTCCAATAATCGGGATGAATATTTTACTTACATAAACACCTCACTTCACCACACATGAAACCACGGTGAAATCTCAGTTTACTTAATTTGTACCACAGTTCACAAGTTTGCCAAATTATGGGAATTGATGGATAATAATAGCATCACTTCATGATGGACAGGATAGAAGCATCAGAATCACACCAGTGACTAAGCACAATAAGTCTTTCCTAGGGTGTAAAACATTATTACTTTATTGCATTGCAAGCTCGAAATAAATCTAGACAAAGTAGACACCCTTTCACAATAACCGGGCACAAAATGAAAAACAATAAATTTGGTAGAAGAAAGAAACAATGGTCTTTCAAATGAAACAAAAAAGAAAAAAATTAAAGATGAACCACATTCCGATTTTTGCTGCTGGAAATAGGGTCAAATTTGCATATTTTTTTGCCATTTTTGTCATCCTCTGCTTTCAAAAGCATAACTCCTGAATTTTTGAAATTAAGCATATTTCCCACTCTTGGGAAAATTGTTGCCTGATTTAAATTGCAGCATCTTAAGTTATTTGTGCTTAAGGTATGGTCATTATTTCAGAAATTGATTTTTTTTTGCTCAAATTTGGCACCAATTTGCAATTTAGGTTTGACTACAATTGCTTTTTTATTTGCGCGACTGGATTTGGCACAAAAAGATGTCCTACTCAGCTAAATTGTATCCTTATTTGTTGAGCCAAACTGAAAAAACAAGCAATCAAAGTTGAGGGATTTTGGAATACGCGCGTGATCATTGCAAGATGGCCCTGTACACCAAAGCCTATAACTTGTAGACAAAAGCATATTAGAGTCTAATATTTTACCCAGTTTAGTTTAGGACTAAAGGCTATTTCTGTGCAAAATTTCATGAAGATTGGAGATGGTCGACTGCGAGCGTTGGGACAGTTGACATGGAATTCCATATGCAACATGTTCAGGCTTTACAATTCCAAAATCATTCTACATGCGAAATGTCAGATTAAACAAATACCTGTCGCATGTGAGCGATTACACTGCAATATTAAATAATTTGGGTCGATTTTATTTTGCATAAACTTCATACAAATAATTTATTAAGTATTCGTAGAGCAATTACATATTTCATTGTTAAAGTTAAAGTAAAGTAAAATCTGTCCAAATTGTTTACTACCGCCGTTTAATGCGCAGCCATTGTAACCGCCACCCTATACGTATCGCGATAAGCGGTATTTGCAAACAGACATGGTTTATTTGAATTGCATTAAAAAAGGTTCCTTCAATTTTGTAACAAGAATGTAGCAATAATTACAGTCAAAATTAAAATTCTGGATGTCATATTTTTCTTTTGCTTACCTTTAAGTGTAGGAAATAATGGTGGTGAAAACTGTGAAGAAATATGCGATGCTAAATGTGGCGAGAAAAATAGAGGAGGGGTGTTCCTTGCACCTGAACTCCCTTCCATGAGTGGCCTGAATCCGCCAGTAGAGCTAAAACAAACAAAAATAGTTATATTTTCTAATTCATCTGAGTATAAATTCTAATAATAATAGATCGTTGATTTGGAAATGTACTCCTATCAAGAATAATTACTGTATTTTTGATTATATTAATATTTTTTGTAGTTTTGTCGGTATAGAAAATTGTGTTATTTATTTATATTTGCAATGAGTAAAAGCTTTGCTTTGCATTGTATTACTTTCTTAATATATATTTGTCTAGATTTTCACGCTATCACTTTTTCACACTTATGCAACAATGTGACTTATTTGGATACTGAACAAAATGTTAGCCATGATATAGGGATTGCACACATTTATAAAATCCAATAACCCTTGGCCCTTAAATTGTCCTGGTAGTTATTATTTTTCATATTTTTAAGTCGGGATGGCTGCAATTTACAAATATAAAGTCTTTTCTGAAGAATAGCATCAAAGAAATAGAAGGAGATTGTAATAATAGGTGGAGTAAAGACAATTTTCCTTTGCAAATTAATTTGCTTAGAAGGAAATTAGCGTAATGAAAATATCAGTGTCATTTCGCGTATCTCTGTGAAATGCAAATGGGACTTTAGCCAGTTTCTTTTTGTTTCAGCGAATGGAAAATTCGTTTTATGATATTACGATCTTTATGTCTGCTTGATGAATATTTAAATTCTCGTCTTGTCAGATCTTTGCTCGCTTTCAAGAGATGTAATATGGCACTTCTCACAAAGAATATAGAATTTATATGTTTTATAGATCCGTTTTGTAAAGGCCAAATATAGTTTCCCTTCTGCATAAGCTGCTCTGGATTAAATTTTAAAAATCCTGCATAGACCCCCATATATCTCATGCATTTGTTTGGCAGAACCATATATTCCTTTTAGATTAATATATTTAGAAGATGTAGCTACCCTTTTTGTTTCCCTAAAGTGAATTAAAAATCTTTATTTCAAAGAGAATTTATTATTCATCTCATTTATATAAAATATAATATATATTTTTTATAAAATTATATATTTTACAAATAGTTTTTGTACAGTCCATTTGACTTTCTATGTCATGTTTGGATGTTTTCGCGTGACAGAAACCTTCAGATCAAAATACATTTTTGATGTTATAGCTAAAAATTAAAAATTGTTATAATTTCGATGACCACAATGGTCGACTACAATTTTTTAAAAAGTTAATATTGTATCTCATATAGATTTTTTCATTTAGAACCCAGTACCATATTTAATTTTTTTAATAACTCACGGTTTTTGACTTACAAATCAGTATTTTTTAAATGGGAGTTTGAGTTCACTGTTATAGTGATAAAAAAAAGGTTGAACCGCATATTGTAAAAATATTCTCTCAAAAATAAATAAAAGAAGCTATCCCATTTTTTTTCTAAATTCTAAAAACGGGGACAGAGTTAGCTTTGACTAAAAAACAAATTCATGTAGTTACATTAATTACAGAAAACATTGAATACACAACCATTATATTTGACAATTTTGACATATATGTAACATTTTTATATTTTAACGCATTTTTAATGAAATAAATATGTTTTATTTCCTCTAGAGAGGCTTTATAAAAAACAAGATATCTATTTTTTAATAAGTTTTGCTTTATCAACTAGACGAGTTTATTTTTATTATTATTTTTTAAATAAATATTTTATAGGCTTCATAGCAAATTAAACCCAATGATGGCACCAAAATCTATGGAATCATTCATTTGTTTTTAGTCAACGTCTACTTCGTCTCTTTTTCTATATTTTAAAATAGGTACGACAAACTATATGTATATTTTTGGAAGTTCCAGAACACCTTTAGGTCATGACCAACTATGGTCACAATTTTAAAAAATATTATTCTGATCTATAAGTTATTCAAAAATTAAGAAGTCCATTGGATCCTACGTGAAAAAATATATGAGATAATGTATATAAGAAGAAAATACTATTTTCGTCTCACATAACGAAAATGAAAATATCAAGTTTATAATTCCCTATACAGGGTGTCCTAAAATAACGTGTACAACGGAAGACCACAGATTCGTGGAGCCAAAATAGACAGATTTAGACTAATTTAACTATATCCGAAATAGCTTCGTTTGATAGCTAGATGGCCTCAAAGTTCGTGAAAATTTTTTGAATTTTGTAAATAACTCAAAAACGTATTATTCGATTTTGATTATTTTTGGAGTGAAGAGTTTTGCTTTCCATCTACACATTTTGGTGTTATACAGTGTTTTTTCCTACAAAATTGATGTATGGTGATAATATCCGTTCACAACTTTTTCCTCATTTGAGCAATATTGATAACTATTTTTTATTTGGAAGTTTTTGGGCCTTTTGTAGAATTTTGATTAAAGAAGCGATTTGGGTACAAAGAAATATTTTTTAAATGAATACATTATCTTGCCACCCATATTACAATACTGAACAAAGTGCTAGTAAGCTCTGATTTTGTAGGTTCAATATAATTTCAGTTTGTATTAAATTTCAATCTTTACATCAAATAAATTAATTACGCAACGGAACTTGTTTTACGTACATACCTAGAAATATTTAAAGAAAATAAAATATTTTAAAAATGCTGTGAAAAGTCCTTAATTCTCACAACCTTTATTATATGATTACCGGTTTCGTAGATAATAACTACATCTTCAGGTCAATATGAAAGTTCCCCACCTGAGAAATATCGGAATTAAAACAAAAACAAAAAAAACACTTCAATTTTCTTTTCAAGGGGAGCACGTGATGGCGTAAGTTTTGGTGTTTTGGAAGCTACCCCTTAGGTAGGGTGTAAAATGCCCTTAAACTTTAAATGGCATCCTATGTTGAGTGACACCTCATTTTAAGTATTTTTCAATTCTGCTCACGACGACATACTTTTTAAATTTCGGTTTGGATATGACAATAAAATCATCACTTAAAGTGTAAGTGTAAATTATCAATGAATGAAAGAATTTTATTTTATTAAAAGTTCCCTCCACTTCCGTACAATAATAAAATTTTTGCTACACTTCCGAAGGAACATTAATAATAAAAAAAAATTTTGATGGCACGTAACTTTTTGGTAAGCAAAATTGTCCAAAGGTAACTTCATCTAAATCAGTTTAGTTTAACCCAACTTTTTCCTCGGTGAACGCGGCTCGTAAGCTGCAGCAACAATCACCAAAACTTTTTTTTAATACATAAATTTTTGCCAAGTTGCAATTTTTTAGGAGTTAGGTATATTATATTTTTTTATAATTATATTAAAAAACAACAAAAATTTACAAATCTATATAAGAATTAACGAGAAAATTATGCTTGTCACCAGTGTTTAGTTCCAAAGCATTATTACTATATTCATCCCCAGTAATTACACATATAACAACCCCCGAAACCACCCTTAGAGATTAAACGCATTACATCATCCAAATAATGTCCTTTATCGCATTGTCTCTGCCAGATAGAAGGTCATCTAGATAGCTGGCGGAAGCTGAAGAAGAAGTGCCACTACTTCCGGTCCACATTGACTTCCGCGCGCGCATGTGCGCACTTCCGGTCTCCATTGACTTAACGTTTTGTTTGCCTATAGGGCAAAGGGCGTATACGCTCTTGCATATGCTACATTGATTCTCACCCCCCAAGACCCTCAAGTAGGGCGATTAACGCTGAGGGTGGCTCTTTGTATTCTTATGCGATTTTTTTTGTTAATAGCGGTTTTGGGGTGTTTAATTTCGGGATGAATTTACGCATTTTTTATTCTTTGAGTGTTTTTTAAGCGACCCATTGTGTGACGCAGAGAGGGGGGGCTCTCTGCCGTAGTATTACGCGGGGGGTGAAGTGAATTTAATTAACATTGTGCCTTAAAATTATACCCCAGAATTAGGGTACATATGTAACGAATACTTGTATTAGTTTTTAATTTAATAGAGCTATGTGTCATACTGACAGATATAGCCCGGTGAATTGGTACGAATGTTGGGAACACCATTATAAATGAAATGTGAAAAGTTCCCATCGATCCCACATCTTCAAAAAATTTATTCAAGGTCAAAGTTCGCAAATAAGGGTTTTTTGCATTTTTCAGCCAAACGGTAAGTTTTATCATAAAAATAGAACTGGCAAAAATTGTAGATCATGCAATTATCTATAAACATTGTTCTTAAACTTTTTTTCCTAAGAAGTTTCCAAAAAGTTGAGAAAGTTGTGTTCTCCATAATTTGATAATTAAAATAGCAATAGAACAATTCAACTCAATAAATACAACTATTGTTGTTGGTGAAGATGATTTATTGGTATTACTTAGTGCTCGAACTCTTACCGAAAAAACTATTTATCTAAAAAAACAACAGCGATCCAAAAGTTTGTCTGCTTTTTCAAAATGCCAAAATCACATACTATTTTCACATGCAATAACTGGCTGCGATACATCAGCAATTTTCAAGAGGGATAAACAACAGTTTTTAAATTGTTTGAAAAACAAGATTTAGTTAATTGTGCTAAAGTTTTTAAAGAGAGTAACTGTACTCCACAAGCTGTAATCACCAACGGAATTCGCTTCCTTCTTTCTGTATATGGACCCAGAAGACTGGGATTGGAATTTAATTGACAATACAGTGGAACCCATCTAGACTCCTGTACCGGAAAAACTCCTCAATACAATATTTTGCAATTGCAAAAAGGGATGTACTGCTAAGTGCGGCTGCAAAAAGTTGGATTGTTTTGTTCATTAGCATGTACCAGTTGTCAAGGCTAGTCGTGCTCCAATGTTGAATCGCCATCAGAAAAGGATTCTTACGATATCAGCGAGGAGACATCTGATGCATCGCTGTTAGAACAATTTACTTGTATCCAGCACGAAGAAGAAGAAGAAGGGTGAGAAGAAGAAGGAGACATTACACTTGAAGTTCCATTAGATAATAATTATCAATCAGACGAATAGTTTTCCCCAATTACCGCTTTCATCATTTCCAGTAGTACCACTTTTTATTCAATACAATATTATTTAATTAAACAGGAGATC